AGCCAAAGATGTTAGAATTGTGTCGATGTCCCAATATTTCTGGACCTGACTGTAAAATACATTATTTTGGAATGCATGTGAAGAATAATGCTTTTGAATGCTACCCTGCATTAATAATATAGGTATTCCTCATTTAGCAACCACAATTGGGAGTAGCAACTCAGTTGTTAAATGAAGTGGTTGCTAAGTGAAACCGCGACTGTGCTTATGATCTTACTTCAGCTTTCCTTTGCTTTACAGACTTGCAAAGGTCATAAATGTGAAACCGCGACTGTGCTTATGATCTTACTTCAGCTTTCCTTTGCTTTACAGACTTGCAAAGGTCATAAATGCAAGGATTGGTTGTAAAGTTACTTTTTCATCACTGTCATAACTATGAATGGTCATTGTATAGACAGTCACTAAATGAGGACTACCTGTAATGACAATCCAGAATATAGAAAGCTACAACATCAATAAGAAAACTATAGTAGAGCAATTTGCCTAGGAAGAGTCTCTTCATAGGCATGGAGGACTGTTTTAACTTGGCTAAAGGCTAAAGTGACTGTTTGTCATCTAAATTAACTAATGCAAGGGGAGTTGAAGAAATCTACAGTTTAAGCTCCAAACTTGTTAACGAAGCTTTTTCTTCATCGACTTTTCTTCATAGAAACTCCAAACCACCCATAGTTATTTTGTATTTGTATTTTAACAGTAATACAAAATACAGATCATTGTTTTCAGAAGAATATAACACTGATGTTAACGTCACATTGAAAAAAACCCCTCTTACCTCCTACATTGTTTTTGTAAGTATTATATAATTCTTTGACTCTTCTGTAACGGAATGCCAGCTTCCTCATCCAGTCAACTCCTCCTCTTACACCTGTTGGCAGACAAAGGTTTGCACTACTTGCAGCTGCATGGAAGCCATCAGTTGCAAAACTGTAGGTACTGCAAACACCCAAAATATGCAAAAGTGAATACTATTTCTTCCTAAAAATACATACTTATTTAATTTTGTTTCATTTTTTTCATGGTATATCTTACCTTAGGTCTTGTCCATTGTCATCTGAGGATACATCATCTATATGCACTTGATCACATTCCTGGTAAGAGAGTATATTTTAGAAAGGGCACTGATATCTTGTTCAACTTTTTACATGATGTAACAGTGCTTTAATGTGAAAAATCTAAATGATGAATAGCACCTGTATTGCCAGCAGATGGCAGAATATGAGCATTTACAATTTCATAAGATAAAGCTACTACTCCTTTTCCCCCCCAACATGATCAGCCTCAGGACTTCTTTCTTAAACTGGTATATTCCTAGATTTATTGCAATACTTCAAAGCTTTGTTACGGTTGTCAAGAATTCCATGTAGTAAATGAACAAACAAAAACCGAAAGGATTATTCCTCTTTGGTCAGATTAAGATTTAGGAGTCGTTAACTCAACACTTCAGTATATGTTTGCTTATGCTGCAAAATAAAGAAACCCAGATATAAAACACAAAAGTAAAAATAAAAAGTTATTATTATTAGCACCATATCAAAAAACCAAAATTCACATCAATGTATATTATATAATAAAAAAGATGTGATGAATAATTTTTAAAATTGTCTCTATTTTTTAATGTGCATTGGCAGCCAATCATATTAATCTTTTTGAGAATAAACAGATTTTTAAAAGAAAAAAATAACTTTGTATAAAAATAGATCAAACTGCAACAAAATCTTGATTGTGCATTTTGTTGTTTCTGCTAGCCTTATCAGCAGAAATAATAATAATAATAATAACAACAACAACAACAACAACAACAACAACAACAACAACAACAACAACAACAACAACAACAACAACAACAACAACAACAACAACAACAACAACAACAACAACAACAACAACAACAACAACAACAACAACAACAACAACTTCTTGAAATGCTACAAAACTGATTGAAAGCTGGCTAAAGGACTCTTTAAAAACCAAGTTAAAATATTAAAAGGCCTGGATAAAAATAAAGGTTTTGTTCTGTCCTAAACTGTAACAAGGAGAAGGGCAAACTTTGCTTTTGAGGCACCTTGTTTCATAGCCAAAGCTCAACCATGGAAGAGACAGAACTAACCACTTTTGCTAAGCACAACCATGGCGTAATTTGCAAAATGAACCTCGCTGGAAGATTTATGGCTGTGGGAAGAATATAGTGCATATACTCTTTGAGGTGGGTATATCAACTGAATGAATGAATGAATGAATGAATGAATGAATGAATGAACGAATAAATAAATAAATAAATAAATAAATACAATACAATACAATACAATACAATACAATACAATACAATACAATACAATACAATACAATACAATACAATACAATACGTTAGCCTGCAAGTGACGTGACTCCTGCTGCATAAGGTCGTATCCGTGATAGTGAGTACCTTGAACTGAGCTTGGAAAGCACCCAATATCCTGTTCAGCTGTTTTGACACAGGGGCAAGGTAGCACTTCCCAGAGGCACCACACATCACTTGGGCTGCTGCATTCTGGAACAGCTGCAGTTTCCAGATTGTCTTCAAGGGACATCCTCTAAAGAGGACACTGCAGTATGCCCTGATATCATCAGGGCACATGTCTGATGCTGGATGTCCTTCCTTGATGCATGGGCATAACTAGTTTTTCAACTCTAGTTGATTAAAAAAAAATCATTGCCACTGATGTAATGTGGCTATACAATGTCAACACCAGAACTAAGCTTTAGGACTATAAGCAGTTATTATTTATAAAAAGTTGTACATTTTTACTTTTACGGTTGCTTCCTGCTGCTTCTGGAAGCTGTTTTAGTGTCAGATTCTAAATAATTGCGTTATAGCAAACTTTATTGTCGATTGCCTTGAACTCTTAGAAAAAGGGCAGGATGCAACTGTTTCAACAAGACAACCAACAGATACATAGCTTTTTAAAAATCACATTAAGTATTTTTTAAAATCTGAACACAACAAAATATAGAATTAAATGCTTAGAATTAATGAAGGAAAAATTATATGGGAAAAATTCCCAGTAGGGAGTTGTAATTTCTTCCACAATTTGAATGTGGAATAAATGTTACTTTTTTCTTATTAGAAACTCAACTTTTTTCTAGAATTTATAAAACGGTAAAGATTCTCAAACAGAAGATTTGGGCCACGGTCATAAAGAGGGACTGTAGCTTGGTGGACAAACAAGAACAATCCTAACTTTTTAAAAGCCTTTTTCTCTTAGTTACCTTAGTTCCTGCTTCATTTCTTTAATTCCTTCCTTGCTTTATCAGCCTACTTGCAAGGTTCCTGCAATTTTACTTTGTCTTGTGTCATTATTTCATTTTCCATTCATCATAAAGGGGAATGAACTTGGGATTGTCCTTATTCAGAGCATATATCCTACTGTCTTACTGTCACTCTCCTGATGCTACTTTAATGAATGTTTCGTTTGAATTAAGAGTATGTAAAATGTTTTGTATAATGACGTTCCTCTCCTATCTCAGTAGAGTCTGCTGGATTACAAGTCTCTTTGAGAGGTTCTCTCCCCAGCCAAAGTTCACAGATTTCCAACAAATAAATTGTTTACTACAGCAAAATAGGCACATCCCAGATCACACTAGGTTTGGTTCTCTTTCCTTGGTTTCTTCTTCTTCCTATTCTTTTCTTTCTCTGGCATTTGTTTCCTCTGTACCTGATTACCTCATTGCTTTCATTCTGTCAAGCTGAACCCATTTTTAATTCTTTCAAACCTATATGGCATGCTGGAAATAAATAATGCAAAGGGGATCTTGTCCTTCTGTCAGCAAGATAACTTTCTAAAGACTGAACAGAATGGAACCAAATTTGATGTTGGGGCCAGTACAAGAAAAATCAAGTTCAAAAATGGGTCAGGGGCTGCAGGAAAAAAAATCCCAATGGATCCCTATGGAAGAAGCAGCTGAACATTTTGTTAGAATATTGGCAACTGCATGATTCTAAGCCTTTATCTCTCAATCACATGATTCAGAGTGGAACTATTATTAAGGGGTTGCATAGGAGCATTTTCTCACCTTGTTATTACATTACAATGGAAACTTAATCTTTGAAAAGGAAAGCCAAAGTGAGCATTTTTTCCAGGTTTCTCTTTTTGAGATCCTTACAATCCTTACTACCACTCAGGTGCTGGGCTGATCTTTTTCTTATGTCTGATTGTTTTTTGCTGATCTGCCTGATGTTACTTCATGTTATTTCATTTGTTTTTATCTGTCAGCTCATTTTATATTGTTTCATCAAATCTACACTATTATAGAGCCGTTTCTGAATCTGCAATATCCACATTGCCCTTGTCTCAACTTTACAGTGTAGTGGAATAGAGTTATGCAAAGCAGTGATGAGGAGAGCGATGGAAATGGTATATTGGTGAGCGATGTCACCAAGACATTTCAAACTCTGAAATGACTTTTGGCTTTGTACCTCCTGGGGAGAAAGAATTCTTGCTCTTACTCTGTATCTGGCAAAAAGGCATAGATCTTGGAAACAAAAAAAGAGCATTCTGGACCTTTTAATTTCTCATGCTGTCTCTTCCTAATACCAGGAAACCAGTTCAGGAGGAAACAGTAAGCAGAGAGACTAGCAGACACATGGCAATTAATATATAAGATTTTATAAGAGTACTAGCTAATACAAATCTAGTAAGTAGAACACTTGATGTAAATCCCAGTTGAATGTATTCATAAATGTATTATCAAGCTGTCTTTTATTAATGACTCATGGGTCTTTTATTCTCATGTTCTTTTTTAATTGTGAAAAAAATTATTATAATTATGTGATAGTGGTTAAAATTACTGAGTATATCAATTTTGTCTGCTTTTCCCTATTTTTAAAAATCTGCTTATAATTTGGAAATACGATGGAAATGTGGCTTATCTATTTCTTTGTCTTCTGTGGTACACCCTTTTAACTTATTATTTTGTCATTTTCTATTATGTACTTTGAAGCACAAAATAGTTTTTGTACTCTATGCTGTTTGCAGAATTATTACTGAAAAAATATCTAGTTATTTAGGCTAAATCCATAAACTGTCAAGATTTTAGGCTAACTGTAGATAATACTATTAATATATAATCAAAGACTTTGAGGATATCGACCTAAATTAATCCCCTACCATTCCCAGTGGAAATTTATAATCTGCTTGCATAATATCAGGATATTGTTTGATTATAATAGAAATGAGGTAGAAATGGTGTTGTAAGGAAGCTCTCTGTTAATGTTAATTTAAGGTAAAATACCTTTTAAAACAGCTACAGAACTGGCTATACTCAAGTCACAGTGGGCCACTGGCTGTGCAAGTTCAAAACTAAGAAAGATCAAATATATTTTCCATTACTGAGCATTTACAAACTCATGTGCAATAACTGATTTTGACTGCTACAACATTAAATTAAATCATGTCTCAGTACAACTAGTTCCTTACCAAGAATTCTTCAGAACTTGACATTTTTACTAAGGAGTGTAAAACCTACAGTTGACCCACAAAAAATCATTTTGGAAATATCAGTAATTTCATTATCCAATAAAAACAATGACTCACTGCTAGTAAAAACAAAAACTCTATTATGCAGATCTTAGCAGTTATAGACTTCAGGGTGAACACAGCTTCTATTCAACATTATCTGCCGGATAATAGCAAATTTGGTATTGATTAAGTGCCAAACATAAGATAAAAGGTTTCCTTGACAGTAAAAATACAGTGTAGGCCAACTATTTGCATAATTAAAGGGATAAGTAAAATAAAATTGGACTTATCAACCCAACATGTAAATATAAGTTTAACAAATATTTTCATTGAAATATGTTCTTAAAATTAATTACAAAACTGCCCTAATGCAAAATTCTGTAACATTAAGGAAAGATATCATAAATTTTTTATTTTGCCTAAAAGTGGAATTGATTCTAGAAACTATTCTCTTTCGGTTCTTTCTAAATAGAACACCCAGTGTAGGTCAGCAAGTTTCCACACGCTAATTAAAATTTATAGGAATATAGGAACTTAAAGAGGACTAATATACAGAATGTTCACTGATCAAAAGATGAACACTCTGAATGTCGGGATTCTGATATTCCTTCTAAGCATGAGAAATACATGTGTTAGCTAATAATGAGAAATACCTGTTCTTTCAAATCTTAATGTTGTTTCTGAGCTATCCATAGCTATTTTTGTTGGATTTAGGAACTGGGACTGTTTGTTGAGGCAGGCCAGCCTGCGAAAAAACATGAATAACTGTTGCTCCTATTGTTTGCTATAGGAGTTTTAAAATTCTTCATTCTTTTTAACATCATCCCTTGGCAAATGTATTGGTAGGCTGGGTGATAGTAGAACTCAGCATGGACTATCAGCCCATCTATTTTAATATCCTAGGATGAAAAATGAGGGAGCAAGGGGCTTCTTTTTAATTCTTACTGTACTCTGTGATGGAACAATGGAAACTTAAATCTGATGGAATAGTCCAAGTAGGCCTGATTTTTAAAATTCATAACAATTATCTAATATTGTTAATCAGTTCTATATTTTGCCAGTCTAACAAAATAAAAAATACCCTGGGAAAATGATATCAATGGTTAACCTGGTTCACATTCTATTTCTGGCTACAACTAGAAGAAATTAGAGGTTATATGGCGGGGTATAGGTGGGCTAATATACATTATATAGTATACATACCTCCAAATCATTGAAAAATAAATGAGTATCAGCAAGATTAAAAATCATTTCTTCCATCCGAAGTCCAAGAGTCACTGCTACAGGTGGATCCTAGTTGGTGTGGGGGAAACATATTCTCGTCATGTAATGATCAATACAAATTTTAGAAACTTTAATTTTATACAGTTATATATATGTAAAATAGAAAAATAAAGAACATTAGCTGCACATAATTATGCAAAAAACTAATAAGAATTGCAGATAAGAATTAAGTATATGTTTTCTGTTTGTGGACTATAATGTCACACCAGAAGCAGAAATTCATATTATCAAAATCCTGGAAAGATAAGTAACTGGAAAGAAAATTTAAAGAGAGTGAAAACAGGCATTTTAAAAGTGAGTATCATGTTTTACTTAAGATAGAAGAATTACATAACAGTCACAATCTGTATGTTGTAGGTAAAAATACTACTGAGAGTACTAAAAATATTGCTATGAAACGAAATACTTTTTATCCAAATTTAATTATTAACACAAAAAGCCTATCCATGAATTATATCCTCAATGCAGAAAAGAAATTTCCAACTTGCAATCCCATCCCTTGGTAATGACTGATATAGCAGCATACCAGCAAGGGGAAAAAGGATATTCTGGTATGATAGGAAACCACTGTTGGTACAACAGGAAAATCTTGGGTCAATTTGAGTTGGGAGTGTGACAGGAGGGCCATAAACCTTTGTTGCAAGATGTCTAAAAATAAGTGATGAAAGCTAAAACACCTTAATGGAAAGCTGTAGAGGCTCTGTGTCCTCCCTTTGATCATCAGGCACAATGAAGAATTTGATTTCAGGTACTGCAATCAATCATGGCAATGTGCCTGGAGTATAAAAGATAAAGCACTAATATTTGCTGATCTAGATGCCTCTGTTGTATGAACTGGATCCCATCTTGTCCAGTTTTGTTGAACCTATTTCAGTTATAGAAATCTGAGGACAAGGCAAAGTCACTCAGTGGGGTGTATCTACTGTATGTCTTTTTAATCCCCGGACTTCACACCTAATTCCTTTAGCTAAAGAGGTTAGCTGATGGGCCCCTTGTATGCTAAATGCATTGCTAAGAGGAGGGATATGTGTTTTGAGAAAGCCACTTCAAGAAACTCACAGTAGGTCCTGGAGTTCTTAACGATTACTGGCTAGCACTACTAGATCTAGGGTGCAAAAATCAAGATGATTACTGAATGACAGCAAAGAAAGCTTGAACTCTTTGATATCATCTATTAGACATCTGGATTTTTGTGCCCCAATCTGGTAGTCCTATATTGGCCAGTTGCTATCATCTCCTCTGGGAAGATGTTTGAGACAGTAATGCCAATGCAACTTCAGACCCTTGTAGAAGAAACTGATCATGAGAACGTATTCCAGTTTTGGTTCAGGCCACATCATAGGACTGAGTTAGCCATGGTTGCCCTAACAGATGACATTAATAATGGAGAGGAATACAGGGAATACAGTCTTGCTGTGACTATTCTTCTATCTTGTCCTTGCCTGCACTACCTGAGAAGAGAAATGGATCTTTAGACTAGTGTCTCCATATCCCACCATTCAAAACTGTTGTTTATTGGCTTAATTTGCTTACTGCAAGATAGCAGGAGGTCCATTATTTTATCCTCCCAGAAGTGGGAAACTAGTAAGGAGAAGCTATGCTGATTTATTATTTATATGCTAATTTGCCAACAAGAAGATTCAACTCAAAATGGCTCTCAATAATAATAATACTATGTACAAATAACATTTTACTAATACACTCTGACAAGTAACATTGCAAAAATAACAATTTGGATCAAATGCAATAAAATCTTGTTATGTCAAAATTAACCTCTTTCAAAAATCAACATTTTATAACATGTCATAAAAGAAGCCTAAGAACAGTAAATGTACTTTATTGCATAAATACAACATAAATTGTACATATAGAGGAACAAGATTAAGATTACAATATTACAGGCTTTCTTGGGGAAATTGGGAGATGCGGGAATTCTCCATAATTGCTCAAGCCATAAATGGTGCCTTTTTTAAAGGGACACTAAGTTCGTATACTTCCCTTACTAACTACATTCTAACTGTGGAGTCCTTGGGGTTCTCTGAGCTTGGTTCTTTTCTTGCAAATGTTTCATTACCTGGCCAGGTAA